AAATAAAATTCCTACGATCTGATCGTGGAGGAGAATATTTGAGTTACGAGTTTGGTGTACATTTGAAACAATGTGGAATAGTTTCGCAACTCACGCCACCCGGAACACCACAGCGTAATGGTGTGTCCAAACGTTGTAATCGTACTTTACTAGATATGGTATGATCTATGATGTCTCTTACTGATTTACCGCTATCATTTTGGGGATACGCTCTAGAGACGGCCGCATTCACGTTAAATAGGGCACCATCAAAATCCGTTGAGACGACGCCTTATGAACTGTGGTTTGGCAAGAAACCAAAGTTGTCGTTTCTGAAAGTTTGGGGCTGCGATGCTTATGTGAAAAAGCTTCAACCTGATAAGCTCGAACCCAAATCGGAAAAATGTGTCTTCATAGGATATTGGATACACCTTCTATCACAGATTCGAAGGCAAGACTTTTGTTGCTAAATTCGGAAACTTTCTGGAGAAGGAGTTTCTCTCGAAAAAAGTGAGTGGGAGGAAAGTAGAACTTGACGAGGTAACTATACCTACTCCCTTATTGGAAAGTAGTACATCACAGAAATCTGTTTCTGTGACACATACACCAATTAGTGAGGAAGCTAATGATAATGATCATGAAACTTCAGAACAAGATACTACTGAACCTCGTAGATCAACCAGAGTGAGATCCGCGCCAAAGTGGTACGGTAATCTCGTTCTGGAAGTCATGCTACTAGATCATGATGAACCTACGAACTATGAAGAAGCGATGGTGAGCCCAGATTCCGCAAAATGGCTTGAAGCCATGAAATCTGAGATGGGATCCATGTATGAGAACAAAGTATGGACTTTGGTTGACTTGCCCAATGATCGGCAAGCAATTGAGAATAAATGGATCTTCAAGAAGAAGACGGACGCTGACGGTAATATTACTGTCTACAAAGCTCGACTTGTCGCAAAAGGTTTTCGGCAAGTTCAAGGATTGACTATGATGAGACCTTCTCACCCGTAGCGATGCTTAAGTCTGTCCGAATCATGTTAGCAATTGCCGCATTTTATGATTATGAAATTTGGCAGATGGATGTCAAAACTGCATTCCTGAATGGATTTCTAGAAGAAGAGTTGTATATGATGCAACCAGAAGGTTTTGTCGATCCAAAGGGAGCTAACAAAGTGTGCAAGCTCCAGCGATCCATTTATGGACTGGTGCAAGCCTCTCGGAGTTGGAATAAACGCTTTGATAGTGTGATCAAAGCATTTGGTTTTATGCAGACTTTTGGAGAAGCCTGTATTTACAAGAAAGTGAGTGGGAGCTCTATAGCATTTCTGATATTATATGTGGATAACATATTACTAATTGGAAATGATATAGAATTTCTCGATAGTATAAAGAGATACTTGAATAAGAGTTTTTCAATGAAAGACCTCGGTGAAGCTGCTTACATATTAGGCATTAAGATCTATAGAGATAGATCAAGACGCTTAATTGGACTTTCACAAAGCACATACCTTGACAAAGTTTTGAAGAAGTTCAAAAATGGATCAAGCAAAGAAAGGGTTCTTGCCTGTGTTACAAGGTGTAAAGTTGAGTCAGACTCAATGCCCGACCACTGCAGAAGATAGAGAGAAAATGAAAGATGTTCCCTATGCTTCAGCCATAGGCTCTATCATATATGCAATGTTGTGTACCAGACCTGATGTGTGCCTTGCTATAAGTCTAGCAGGGAGGTACCAAAGTAATCCAGGAGTGGATCACTAGACAGCGGTCAAGAACATCCTGAAATACCTAAAAAGGACTAAGGATATGTTTCTCGTTTATGGAGGTGACAAAGAGCTAATCATAAATGGTTACGTTGATGCGAGCTTTGATACTGATCCGGACGATTCTAAATCGCAAACTGGATATGTATTTACATTAAACGGTGGAGCTATCAGTTGGTGCAGTTCTAAACAAAGCGTCGTGGCGGGATCTACGTGTGAAGTAGAATACATAGCTGCTTCGGAAGCAGCAAATGAAGGAGTCTGGATGAAGGAGTTCATATCCGATCTAGGTGTCATACCTAGTGCATCGGGTCCAATGAAAATCTTTTGTGACAATACTGGTGCAATTGCCTTGGCAAAGGAATCCAGATTTCACAAGAGAACCAAGCATATCAAGAGACACTTCAATTCCATCCGGGATCTAGTCCAGGTGGGAGACATAGAGATTTGCAAGATACATACGGATCTGAATGTAGCAGACCCGTTGACTAAGCCTCTTCCACGAGCAAAACATGATCAGCACCAAGGCTCCATGGGTGTTAGAATCATTACTGTATAATCTAGATTATTGACTCTAGTGCAAGTGGGAGACTGAAGGAAATATGCCCTAGAGGCAATAATAAAGTTATTATTTATTTCCTTATATCATGATAAATGTTTATTATTCATGCTAGAATAACCGGAAACATAATACATGTGTGAATACATAGACAAACAGAGTGTCACTAGTATGCCTCTACTAGACTAGCTCGTTAATCAAAGATGGGTATGTTTCCTAACCATGGACAAAGAGTTGTTATTTGATTAACGGGATCACATCATTAGGTGAATGATCTGATTGACATGACCCATTCCATTAGCTTAGCACCCGATCGTTTAGTATGTTGATATTGCTTTCTTCATGACTTATACATGTTCCTATGACTATGAGATTATGCAACTCCCGTTTATCGGAGGAACACTTTGTGTGCTACCAAACGTCACAACGTAACTGGGTGATTATAAAGGTGCTCTACAGGTGTCTCCAAAGGTACATGTTGGGTTGGCGTATTTTGAGATTAGGATTTGTCACTCCGATTGTCGGAGAGGTATCTCTGGGCCCTCTCGGTAATACACATCACATAAGCCTTGCAAGCATTGCAACTAATGAGTTAGTTGTGAGATGATGTATTACGGAACGAGTAAAGAGACTTGCCGGTAACGAGATTGAACTAGGTATTGAGATACCGACGATCGAATCTCGGGCAAGTAACATACCGATGACAAAGAGAACAACGTATGTTGTTATGCGGTCTGACCGATAAAAGATCTTCGTAGAATATGTAGGAGCCAATATGAGCATCCAGGTTCCGCTATTGGTTATTGACCGGAGACATGTCTCGGTCATGTCTACATTGTTCTCGAACCCGTAGGGTCCACACGCTTAAGGTTTCGATGACAGTTATATTATGAGTTTATGACTTTTGATGTATCGAAGGAGTTCGGAGTCCCGGATGGGATCGGGGACATGACGAGGAGTCTCGAAATGGTCGAGACATAAAGATTGATATATTGGAAGCCTATATTTGGATATCAGAAGTGTTCCGGGTGAAATCGGGATTTTACCGGAGTACCGGGAGGTTACCGGAACCCCCCGGGAGGTATATGGGCCTTAGTGGGCCTTAGTGGGCCTTAGTGGAAGAGAGGAGAGGTGGCCAGGGCTGCCCCCCCCCCTAGTCCGAATAGGACAAGGAGAGGGGGGCGGCGCCCCCCCTTCCTTCTCTCTCTCCTCTTTCCCCCCTCCCGAATCCTATTCCAACTAGGAAAGGGGGGGAATCCTACTCCCGGAGGGAGTAGGACTCCTCCTGGCGTGCCCTCTCCTGGCCGGCCGCACCCCCCCCCTTGATCCTTTATGTACGGAGGCAGGGGGCACCCCTAGACACACAAGTTAATCCACGTGATCATATTCTTAGCCGTGTGCGGTGCCCCCTTCCACCATAGTCCTCGATAATATTGTAGCGGTGCTCAGGTGAAGCCCTGCGACGGTAGTACATCAAGATCGTCACCACGCCGTCGTGCTGACAGAACTCTTCCCCGACACTTTACTGGATCGGAGTCCGGGGATCGTCATCGAGTTGAACATGTGCTAGAACTCGGAGGTGTCGTAGTTTCGGTGCTTGATCGGTCGGGCCGTGAAGACGTACGACTACATCAACCACGTTGTGCTAACGCTTCCGTTGTCGATCTACAAGGGTACGTAGATTACACTCTCCCCTCTCATTGTATGCATCACCATGATCTTGCGTGTGCGTAGGAAATTTTTTGAAATTACTACGTTTCCCAACATGTGTCTGCCCCTGCACGTGTGAATGATATTGGAAGTGCCTTTGCTGAGGAGTTACGTGCTACCGTGATGATTTAATTTGGTTGTTGTTCTTATCCAAATTGAAGTTCGAACGGATGCAAAGCTAGTTATGCTTTCACTGAATATTGGAAGTGCATTTGTTGAGGAGTTATGTGCTACTGAGGTGATTTAATTTAGCTGTGGTGCTTGAAGCTATCTAAATTGAAGTTCGAACATATGCAAAGCTAGTTATGCTTGCATTGAATAGGAAGCCGGTGGATTTCACGCGGCAGGCCATTGCCATCAACGATCTAAGGGCATCTCCAATACAAACCCTGAAAAGAGCACCGCAAAATGTCCGCGGGCATGTCCGGGACATGTGCGCAGGATAGGGGATGGAATCATCCAATGTTATCCCATATTTATCCAGTTTCATCCATCTACACATGTTCATATCGCGGTTGAGGAGGGACGGGGGGTGTCCGGATGTCCCACGTGATGGTTTTTGATTGGCTAGGCAGATGTCGGGAAAGCCCCCCAAGTTTGCTACCGCTTTGCCGAATTTGAACGCCCGGACTCGTTTGCGCACGTTTGAGGGATAGCATTTGATGTTTTCCATGCCCCAGGCCATGGCAGAGTCTTCTGGATGGTCTCCGAATGGTTCAAATAATTGAATGGTTCAAATTACAGTATCCGGATGTAAATGTATGCCTACCTACCCAGAAAACCCACTATTTACAGCACACGGTCGTTCAACACACGTTTACCCCGGGCCCCGAGTACCTCAAATTACTGCAAACGTAATTTATTAAAATGGACAAACATACATGAATCAGGTCTAGAGAGGTGACATCTCCCGTCGGTCTGTCACGATGACACGAGCCCGGCATCTTATCTTAAATTAGCCATAGCTAGCGTGTGAGATTGATCAAAACTCAGTAGCACCACCCGGAAGCTGCAGTCGCCGGGGCGACGAAGGCGACTCCCATGTCGTGATCACGCTTCTGCTTCGCCTGAACTAAGTTCGTCCGAAGGCTCGCCTCCTGCATCTGCAGCACCGGACTCACACAAGAATTTAATAGTTAAGCAAAAAGTGTAGATATAGTGCAACTAGTCGACGAATGGCACTTAGAAAAGCAAAGGAGTATTGTGTGAGAAAGATCGATCGAATCGGTCCAAAAAGTGAAAGAAGTTCAGTACGGTACAAGATTCAGAGTAGGTCTGTTCCGGTGAAACATCACCGGGAGCAGAAAAAACGACGTGCCACCAGCACCCACCTGCAAGCGAGTGACGACCCTGGACAGCCGCATGGCTTCCTCCAGCCCTTCCACCTCCTGCCGTATCGTCCTTGCAAGCTCGCCCAGCGCGCCGCTCGTCGCTCCGGCCTGCAGAAAGGCACCGGCGGCATGCAGTCACACCGGAATCAAGGACAACGTACGTAGAGAAAACGTGCAGGAACCGGGGAAACTTAATCTGCTGTGATTGTGGCGTGCGTACCGTGGCGTAGAACCTGTCGGCGTTGGCCTCGATCTCGGTCGCCGTGCCCACGCAGGCGAACACGATCTCGCGGAGCGACTCCATGTCGACCTGCATGCAAGTGTGGTGCCCTAGCTGTTAGATGGAGGGAGGGAAGAAGTAAACAAGCGTGTGGGCGCGCTCTGTGTATGGGGGAGTGCGACTGCATACTTGGGCGCCGGCGGTTACGGGGAGGGGTGTGCAGGCGGCGGAGAGGGCGCCGGCGAGGTCGGAGACGGCGTCGGAGTGGGGCTCCTCCAACGACTCCCATGGTGCGAGGAGGGGCAGCTGCGGCCGCAGCAGCCGTTCCAGCTTCAGCTTCTGCCGCCGCCGCTGCGCCACGATCCGCTTCGCCGCATGGATGTTGCGCAGCTCCGCCACGCGCAGCCACGTGTAGAACAGCTTGTTCTGCATGCATGCACACGCGTGCCAAGCCATGACCACCCATCACCTCATCAATATACTCGGCCGCTGAAGGACACGATGCGTGCATGGCTCACCTCGGCTGCGGAGGTCGCGCGGGCGGCGGCCTTCTCCATCCGAGCGTTGGCGAACCGCCACTGCAGCAGCCGCGTGGCGAGCACGCGCGCCCGGTGCACCGTCTCCTCCTTCTCGGACCCCTCCCTCTTCCGCATCATCATGTCCCTCAGCGCGCCAGCCGATACTTTATCCGCCGGGGTTTCGTCCGGCGACGCCCCCCCGGTGCTGCGCCTCCGCCTCGCGGGCTCCCAGGGGCCTTGCCTCGCACCGACGCCGGGCTGTGGCGGCGACCGGCGGGGGGACAACGTCACCGCCCCGGCGTCCGCGCCGTGGACGGTGTTCTGATCCTTGCTGCTCAGTGCCCGGCGGGGCGGTTGCGCGGCCGCATCGGCGTCGCCGGCGCTTGGCTTCTTCTTGTGGCCGAAGGAGGCCGCCTTGCGGAGGGAGCGCGCGAAGTTGGCCGAGGAGAAGAGCGGCGCGGCGCGCATCCCGTCGTAGGCGAACGCGCCAGCGCCAGCGCGGGAAGCAGAGCTGGAGCTGCGCCCCAGCCGGCGCGCGGACGCCGTCTGCGGCCTAGGGATGCTACCGCCGGCGGACTCCATAGACCACGGAGGCCGATAAATTAATAAATATATAAAATTACGAATGCACAAATAAGTTAATAAATTATAAATAAATAAATAAAATTAAGCTGCTCCGATGTATCAGAGCAAGCGCGGTGTTGGCAGCATCCTAAAGACTAGGGGAGAAGAAGAACGCAAGATGCATCACAAGGACACTAGCCAGCTCCAAAACGCCACTAGATATAGCCATGTAGGTGGAGAAGAAGTGGTTCTTCCATTCCATGCACGCGAGGGCGCGTCCCTCTCGTGAGACACGATGGAGCAACCAGATGCCATATATTCTCGGCCTGTCGACCATCTCCTCACATCTTTCCTGGTCGCACGTCTAATAGTTACTCGTACTCATCACACCATCAGATCATTTCACCTGTGACTTTTGATTGTGTGCACACCATCACCATGGAAAGTTCTTTCGGCATGTTTTTCCAGATGCATGTGTTGCGGAAGTGGTGGGGTTTGGACGTTTGGTGGGAGAAAGGGAGAGGCTAGGCTGGTGTACGCCATCTGTGGAGTGCCGGTACGCCATGGTGACCTAGAATCCTTTTCAATTTGGCCGTGCGCACGCTGCAATTTCTTCTCGTACCGAATAGTACAGGAGAAGGCAGGCGGGGAGCAAGAGGGGCGTCAACGTTAGGACAGATGGAACTGGCATATTTTAGGTGAGAGAAATGGTGTGTCTATCTCTTGATAGGAGCGTGGCCTCTGATTCGGCCGTAGAGAAAGACGTTGCGAACCATTCGAACAAAATGAAACTTATTCAAGCAAGATGTTGGGAACCATATATCAACATTGGAAATGTTATTTGCCGAACGCCCTTCCAGCCGTCTGATTCTGGTGACACGTGATCGGGTGTCAGCTCTCTCGACTCGTTCACTATTCTAGCTCCCCTGGCGAACGACCCCTCTTTTTATTTCTTCAAATAATCTGCACATGTGGCCACTCCAACTCACAGAGACCAACTAACGAACGGTTACCCCTTGCGGGAGCCTTGTAAGGGTCACTTTTGTGCTCCGAGAGCATGTCAAATGGTGCGTCCAACCACCGACACGTGTCATGTGCTGGACGCTCCCTCTAGTTTTTTTTCCTGTACACATTTTCGGGTTTTAGATGTGTGTGTTTTTTTTTGTATTTCGGGTTTTTCCTGATTTTTCCTAAGGTTTTGTAGAAAAAATGGTTTTTTGGAGAAGCACAATTGCGCTTCTCAGAAAAGGAAAAATCTTTGTTTCCACGAGAAGTATAGATTTGCTTCTGCAAGTGTGCTTCTCAAAAAGAAAAAAATTATGTGATTTCACGAGAAGCACATATTTACTTCTCGTGGAAGCACAAATTTGCTTCCACGAAAAACACAAAAGAAAAAAACAAATTGTGCATCCACGAGAAGCACAAATTTGCTTCTTGTGGATGCATAGATTTGCTTCTGTGACAAACACAAAAGAGAACAAAAAAAATGTACATCCACAAGAAGCACAGATTTGCTTCCGCGAGAAGCACAAAAGAGAGAAACAATTGTGCATCCACGAGAAGCACACTTTGAGAGGGAAAATCTACACATCCACGAGAAAGCTACAGAGAAAAAGATATGTGCTTCCACGAAAAAAAATCTTGGGCGAGAAGCACCAAAAGGAAAAAAGGTTAAAACCCACAACCGTGCTTCCATGCTTTGTTTTTTTATTCTTTTTTACTTGTTGCCTTTTTTCATTTTTTTACCAAATTTTGTTTTTTGTTTTTGATTTTTCCGCTTTTTCGTGAATTTTTTCCAGAGCCAATTAACATGGAATCTAGTCTCAAAGATTTTAGAGGGACAAATCCAACAGTTTGAATAAAAAGAATCTATGAAAAAAAAATACTTCCAAGTTGCGACAAGACT